TATACAGGGTGGTCTGAACTGTATTCCGGAAGCTTTGACTGCATATTCTGCAGATAAAATTAAGTAAAAAAAATCGTATACATAAATGTATGTCCTAAAATGCTTAGTCTCGGAGATACAGGGTGTAGAAATTTAATTTTTATTTCGATTTTTTCAAATAATTTCTAAAGTAACATCATTATATGGGTGAAAATGGTGTCTGGGAGTTTTTAGATATGAGAAATTTGATTTTGATATAAATCAATGTAATAAATCAAATAATGATATGGCTCCTACTTGTAGAAGGCGCTACCTACTTATAATATAATAAATAAAATAATAATGTAAATTTGGTAATCTTACACACATTTTAATGACAAAGCGAATGGCGATAGTTTAAAATTCCGTAACAGCATTGAAAAGGTACTTTCCATTAGGGTAGAGAGTACTACGGGTGGTACTTCTTTTATCCTTATTTGCTTATAGATAGAGTAATTTCAACAAATGAAAATTAAAGTTTGGACTTTTTTTTGTAAAAAAGGTGCTCTAGGTTTAGTTCCAAACGGTGGACGGTTCTCAAGATATTTGCGATTGAAGAGGTTCCGATGCATCGATTTTAGTATTAGGGAAATTAGGAAATGAATTTATTTAAAATTTCTTTACCTACACATTTTATCATTTCACTAAGGGCGCAAACATAGTGAGGCATCTCGATGCGATGCTCGCCAAGATGCTGGCCGCGCTGCTCGCCAGGATGCTAGCCGCGATGCATCCTACGCGCACTGTTAAAACGGCGAGTAAGTGCGCGTAGGATACATCGCGACTATCGTACAAACATAGTGCGGGGTATTTCATCTCGATCATATCGAGATGAAATACCATCATCATAATTTATCACCAACAATGTAATAACCTTGATTCTACAGGGTCCGGCAATAGTGCGTCGGGCATCTGTAGTTCTAATAATAAATAACTTATGAATTTTGTAGTCCAGACATAAAGTATGTATTAGGATGTATTTGAGGAAATATTTGAACTTCTAAAGGGTGGCTCAAAAAAGTGTGAGTGGATCGCGAATATTTTTTTAAATGGAACACCTATATACGGGGTGGCGCAACTCATTCGCGTCGATTGATTATACGAAAACGGAAATATGTAGAAACAAACTATTTTATGGGCATATGTGGGAAGACCATGTGCATAATTTAAAATTATTTTGAAATGTACAGGGTATGTCAGAATTAAGATTTACACAAAAATTATATTTTTTCTTGTGGAACACCCGATATTTTATTTCTTATTTGGATCCTTGGACACAAAATAAGGCATGCATTATAAGGGTTATTATATATTAATATGTTTACAAGCTTTAGTTTTTGAGATATTCAAAGATATTTAAATATGCATGCTACAATGGAACAGATTATCAACACCCTGTACATTACTTTTTAGAATTAATTCTTGTGCTGAGTTTAAAGATAGAGAAATAAACTTTACTGAAAAATTGTATTGCTGCCTTAAATTTATACAGGGGTACCAAAAATTGATGATTTATTTTAAATATTTATTTGGCATAAAAACTTTGTTATTTCAAATACGACAACCTATTTTTTTAAATAAATCGAAACAGATTCAAATGCTCTTTCAAACTACATATATTAGGGTGTCCTATACCTATCTAGCTCAGATTTTGAATAAAGTGCAATAAAGAGAGCTGATGTCGTCATGGCAAGTGACAGTAGCTATTTTCAAAATCGAAATTAGTTTATGGACTTTATTTATTTATAGCAAGTACTTTAATTACTAGTTGATTAAAAAAAGTATACCATTAATATTGCAAATTATATTTTATCTTCTCATAGTATGTTTTAATTTTTTTGATTATGTAACGAGCACTTTGTTTACTCATTTGTTTCGTCGAACTGCTTGAAAGCATTTTTGCTTTTGATCAAATCGGTGTGAGAAACTATGAAGCTATAAAAATTTTTTTCAGGAGAGTTGAATATCCGGGAAAGTTGAGTTATTGAATGTAATTGCACCCAACAACGCCCTAATTGTGCTCTCCTTTATGCGTTAACATTTTTTCGGCAATTTTATTAACATTTGACATTGTCACAACACAGCACGACGCCTAGTTCGAATTCTTTTTCATTTATTTTTTACTATCCGAAACAGCGTTACATCACACAAACCTGGTACCTGAGTGTTATATTTCTTTTTGTCTCAATAACTGCACTAGCAAAAAACTAATATACTTATATATTATAACGAAACCACGATTTCAATATATATTCTATTGCGGCGACGTTAAATAGATAGGGCAGGGATAATTTCTGATTTTTGCCATTGACTCGCTGCGGTAGGAATTTGTTGAAATCAACTGAAATGCACCAAGCCTATACTAATTAATAACTACTATTACATAAACTGGTGCTTAATAAAACGGCGATGGTAAATGTTTCAGTATGCCTACGCGCACCTATTCGCCGTTTTAAAACAGTGCGCGTAGGATGCATCGTGGCTACCATCCTGGCGAGCAGCGCGGCCAGCATCTTGGCGAGCATCGCATCGAGATGCCTCACTATGTTTGTGCCCTAATACTCAAATTGATGCATCGTAATCTATAAACGCAAACATCTTGAAAACCGTTCAACGTTTTGAACTAAACGAAGAGCACCATTTTTACGTAAAAAAGTTCTAGCTTTTCATGTCATTTGTTTAAATTATAGTCTATAAGAATAAAAAAAGTACCACCAGAAGTACTTTCCTCTCTAATGAAAACTAACCTTTCAGAGTAGTAAGTTTTAGTAAGTACCTTTCGAGGGCTGTAATTTCTTCGGGAAGCATTTTAGGACATATGTTCATAGGAACTTTTTGTTTTATTTTTATCTGTAAAATCACCCACCAAAGTTAGATACACTATATTTTTGACAGCCTGTATTGTGTAATATTATATAGGGTGAGTCTTAAATAAGTGCACATATTTTCAGGGCTGGTAGTTCTTAAAAGAAACATATTTTCTCTTTACCGTTTTCAAATAAATCTAAAATAACCGAGATACTTTACTTTTCAAATTTTTTTTTTCGCAAAAAAACTCATAATCATGTTCCTGAGGTCGAAATATACTACCCCTAAAAATATTTGCACTTAAGACTCGCCCTGTATAGTATAAGTAAAATAAAACACCACTTCCTATTTACGCTGTTTTAAATTTAAAGGACGACACTCGAGGGTTATTCTTGTTTAGACGAATTTAACGAACGTCGCACAAGCCTTCGATTACAGATAATTGGCAGATATCTCCCCGATAATTTCCAAAAGCACCGGCGGAAAATTCGAAGATAACTACGTTTGGACTGGTGGAGCTTTCTTTCATTATTTCTTAATTTGACGTCGAGAGAGAAGAGGGAATTTGTGCTGAACTAAGAAATTGATTCGAATTGTCTACGAGACGAAGCAATCTCTGAGAATTATGTCTCTAATGGATTTTAAGAGAAGTATTTTTTTTAAACCTTACCTAATTTTTGGAGGGGTAAAATATAATAGTTAATATTAATAATAATTGATAAATTAACATGAGGGTAAATTATTAATGGCGTTTCCTTCGAAGGGAAAGAGTAAATATGTGTTGAAAAGCATTTAAAGCAGTAAGGGTGCCACAGAGTCATAGCAATACCTTAATTTTTCCAGAATATCTTTTATTTTCAAGATATTTCTTTATTACCTTCTTTTGATTTTTTTTTCGATTGCACACGCAGTACAAACTAAGGAATGCTACGACACAATCTGTACAATTTTGGACGAGATCAAATACAATGAGCATCAATGGAAAATTCGTGGCGATCTTAAGGTTGAAAAATAAATTAATTGTAATTAATTTCGAAATATTAATTGATTATTCATTACAGGTTATTGGTCTATTGGTTGGGATGCGATCTGGATTCACGAAATTTTGCTGTTTTTTGTGTCTGTGGGACAGCCGTGCAGTTGATCATCATTATGTGAGAAAGTTGTGGCCGAATCGTACCCACTATGAGCCAGGACAACAAAATGTGTCCTCTGTACCACTTGTAAACCCACTGGACGTTTAACTGCCACCTCTTCACATTAAACTTGGCCTTATTAAGAACTTTTTCAAAGCGTTCAATCGCGAAGGACCGGCTTTCCAGTACTTAACCAAGTTTGTTTCCAAAACTGTCATACGCAAAAATCAAAGAAGGAATATTTGTCGGACCTGATATTCGAAAACTAATGGCTGCCGCAACGTTTATAAAATATATAATGCTTGAGGAGGCAGTAGCATGGACATCGTTTAAAAGTGTTGTTCACAACTTTCTCGGTAATCATAAATCACCGTATTACAAGCAAGTAATCGACAGTTTGTTGGAAAATTACCAGAAGATTGGAGCTCGAGTGTCTCTCAAGATACATTTTCTGCATTCACATCTTGATTTTTTTCCACAAAACTTGGGCGACACGAGCGACGAGCAAGAAGAGCGGCTACACCAAGATATAGCGAAAATCGAAAGGCGATACCAAGGATTTTGGGACGAAGGCATGATGAGCGATTACTGTTGGACCCTAATCCGTGAAACAGATCCCAAGCAGTATAAAAGACGCAGTTCAACCTCTGTTCATTTCTGATTTACATTGTTTAATTCAATAAATGACCGTTAACGGTCAAAAATAGTAAAATAATGAATTTATTAAATATTTCGAAAACTAGAACCAATCTTAAAAAATGCACTGCTGATTTAACTCCAAAAATTATCTTAGAAATTGCTTTTAGTTGTTCATGTCCAAAACCGTGTATACTTGTGTAATGTTTGATTGGAGGTTGTAATGTAATATTACTGGATATTTTATAATATAATAATTTTTGGCAATTAAGATAGATGAATAAAACTTTTCTTCTAAAAATGCACAATAGTTCAAACGTGGTTTAATATTAGCATTCAAAATATATCATCATATTGTATAGTAGATAAAAATAATTTGAATAATAGATATGATGTACTTACCCCTGATAGAGTCTTTACATTATGTAAGGCATCTTGAGCTAGTAGGGCAGCCTTTCGGGTAAAGAACGTTACAAAACAACATCCTGAAACAATAGAAAAAATTGTAAAACTATCAGCTGTTCATCACTACTTTACAGTGTTTTAATATTTGTAAATTAAAATTATCCAATGAGGGGATAAATAATATAATAAATAATAATATGAAGAGGACACGTGACTGTCAGATTTTAATTCATGGGTAAATTATATTCTCAGGTGACCCGGTGGCGTAGAGGTACAGCTCTCGTCTACAAATTCAAAGGTTGTGGGTTCGAATCCCACAGCCGGCATTTCATCAGCCGACTATTTTTAATAAAATATCGACTCAGCCTTAAATGAGTAGGTACTTGGGATTCACAATCCTGAGGTAATAATAGGTGGTTGAAGCGTAATGCTAGCCACATTACCTTCCTTGTATACCGAACGGCTCTAGTATGGCAAGCTGTACCTTGCTACTCCCAAGGCGTTAAACGCTATAGGCTTGGTGCATTCTCCGCCGGTGCTGCCACCGCCCGGGAATATCGTAAATAACGAACACATACAAATACACGGGTTTAAATGGTGAGTAAACGAAAAAATTAGTATATAAGTAGTTATTCTAAAACTCTTAGAAAGTATAATTTGTGGAAATTCTAAACAAAAAAATAAAAAGGTAAATATTTTGATATCTTCAGAAGGTCTAACTTGCATTATAATTTATTTATCCAGTTAAAAAAAATAGATGATTTCAGCTACGGTAGCGAGCATAATTTCACCACCGGTTTTACCAGTGGGGCATAATTGGAGCTATTTCGCCTATAATGAAATTTTTTAAAAGTACATAATTATAATTTTCAAAGATGTTCATAAAATGCCGGAACCGCACATGCGGCATTTAGCGAACTCCGAGCGCTCGTCAACTCCCGAGCGCTCGTGATCGGACTTCGCCTTTCCATCCACACATGCGGGCCCTGATAGCAACAACATAGAGACGGGCACTCGTTCTCGTCGCCGATCGAGTCGTCGAACTCCGACTTCCCCATCCACACACATAGCAAATCGGCGAAGCCCCGTTCGAAGATCACCAAATGCCGCATGTGCGGTTGCGGCAAAACATTAATCACTAGTTGATTAAAAAAGTATATCATTAATATTGCAAATTATATTTCATTCTCTCCTAGTATATCTATTTAATTTTTTGATGATGAGTACTTTGTTTACTCACATGTTTCGTCGAACTGCTTGAATCCATTTTTGCTATTGATCAAATCGGTGTAAGAAATTATAAAGCTATAAAATGTTGTTTCGGGAGAGTTGAATATCCGGGAAAGTTGAGTTATTGAATGTTATTGCACCCAACAACGCCCTAATTACGCTCTTCTTTACGCGTTAACATTTTTTGGTCAATTTTATGAATATTTGAAATTGTCACAACACAACAAGACGTCTAGTTCTCATTCTTTTTCACTTATTTTTTACTACCCCAAAGAGCGTTAAACCTCGTTCCTGAGTGTCTTATAGTTTCAATAACTGCACTACCAAAAAACTAAAATACGTAAATACTATGACAAAACCACGATTTCAATATTATTTTAATGTGATCAACATGAACTGTATCCGGGACGGCGTGAAATAAATAGCGAAAATTTCTGATTTCTGCCGTATACAACGTATCGTATGTTGTAAACTACTTCTTTCATTTATGTCTATTCAATATTGCTAGATATTATTTTTCGTTATGTCCTCTATCGGATACAAGAAAATTGTTGCTTTCATTTTAAATTTCTCTCGGCGGGCAAACTCTGAAATTTATCGCTCTTTAAAATTGTGGCCGTAACTTAATTTGCCGGCTCAGCCGAGAGAAAAATATCGCAAACCTGGACCGAAACGGCAGTAAATAGCAGATCTAACCGAAATTTATGATTTTTATTTTCGGGTTATTTTCCAAACATGTGTCGCCGCTTAGGTATATATTTCATCTTATATTTTCCCTCTAAAATGCCGTGCGTCGCTTCGAGAAACATTTTATTACGTTGATTCGGTGAAGTGTTATAAAATGTAATAATTTCCCGGTTTTTTATATTTTCTTCTCGTTTTTCACGCATGCATGGGGGATTTTGTAACACAAAAGCCGAAAAATGTGGAGAAATTCTCTTGAGGAGTGATTGCATATCGAGAATGTTCTTGAATCAATGTGTTGATATATTTTTTGATATTGTGATAAAAATATAAGTTGAAGCTACAGTCAAACAAAAGGATTCCATCGAAAACATAAAATTTAAGAAATGCCGAGAGAAATGCCAGTTCTCGCAATTCTTCCACTAAAAGAATTTGTGATTTGTGAAGTGCTGGCATGAATTAGCGCTTGTCAAATTTCTTTAATTTTATCACTGATTTACTGACAGATCATCAAAATTCTAAGATGTGTCACAAACTTCAAATTATGAATTTTAGGTAGCTTTAATTATAACGGAAGGAAAAAATTAAAAATCTCGAAATATCCGTATGAATTAAAAATTAGTTGTCTAGCCGTTACCGGTAACTGACTTTCCGGCGATGGTAATAGGAGCGTTTTGAAAATATGGATTTTTACATAAAGGCACCTGCTCCATTTATCTAAAATATTATCAGCATTACAGTATTCCCGGACCATTTGATCTATGTCATTTTCTCAATCAAAAAAAAATCTTTGTAACTTTAAATGGAACATTTTAATGATGCAGCTATTATTGCGGAGATAAAAGACGATATGCAGAGACAGCTTCATGAATTCTACCAAGTAAACCGAGAATAAAACAAGATTATCTCTACAGAAAGAGCTAAATGCTGTATTCCAAAAAATGCTTGCTTTCTCTAAAGCGACGTATGGTAAGATGCAAATTGGTAGTAAAAACAAAATTATTAAGCGAGTATCACAGTTTAGATACCTAAGAATAGATATGTTTATATATTTTTACCCTTCTTGGTTTTAGGTCAATAAATAATTTTCCTTTATTTCATAGATATGAAATAGATGTCTGTATGCGCAGCAAACTCTGATGCATATTATTCTCTGCACTCTTATAAGTTTCTGCAGTTGTTTTTTATTCTGCGTTATAGTATACCATGCCGGTGCTGCATACAGTAATTGCGAATGTACCACACTTGCCAGAATATGCCTTTTGGATGGTTTGGGACCCCTGATATTCGACATGAGACTAGTCAATGCTGATATCGTCTTCTGCGCTTTAACAACAGTTTTGTCAATATATACTCCGAACGTCAGTTTTGAGTCCAGCCATACACCAAGATACTTAATGGCACCACTCGGATTAACTAATATTGATCTTCTAGTTTGCTCAACATATTTCTGATTACAATTTTTACAAGAAATTTCATAAATACCCGACCTTTCCAGTGGAGGTGTTTTATCCCTTGGATTACCTAATAATTGTTGTAATTAATTACACGGAGGTGTATTATCCTTTGGATTACCTAATAATTGTTGTAATTAATTACAACAATTATTAGGTAATCCAAAGGATCAAACACCTCCACTGGAAAGGTCGGGTATTTATGAAATTTCTTGTAAAGATTGTAATCAGAAATATGTTGGGCAAACTAGAAGATCAATATTAACTAGATTTAAAGAACATTTAGCTCAGATAAGATATGGTAGACCGGATAAATCTTGCGTTGCCGAACATATTGTTGATAAAGAACATTGTATAGATCTTAATAATTTAAAATTAATTAAACAAGTCTCAAATTACAGGCAATTAGATGCATATGAAAGCATCAGAATTAATAAATGTAAAGACAGTATGAACAGAGACAACGGTCCAATTCCTTCAAGTTCTTTGTTCCTACTACTCTAGTGGCGGAAATCTAACTGTTGCGCTCAGTGGGCTCTGACTCGGTTGGCTAGATTTTGCCACGCCCACTCGGTGCCCACTGAGCGAGTATATAAACGCTCAACTTGTAGCTCTGCTGATGATGCTAAAATGGTTAGCGAAACGCGCGTCCAGTGTAAAAGTAAATGTGTTTTGCTGTATTGTGGTGATTTAGTGTTTTTATTTTGCGGAGTTTATCAGTGCCAAGATACGTGCCCTAACACCATGTTCCAAGTTCCAATGTTCCAGCTTGCATATCAAGTAATCATTTGGGATTTTGTCAAAAGCCTTCTTGAAATCTAGGTAAATGACATCCGTGGGTTGCATGATGTCATGTGCCAAGGTCCACTACTGAAGCCTGGATAGGAGATTGGTTGTTGTAGACCTCTGAGGAAGGAAACCATGTTGTTCAGGTGGTATCACTTGGTTCGCCAAAAAGAAATCAGTCAGCTCCCTTGCCACGATTTTCTCCAGACACTTACAAATGACACTTGTCAAGCTAATAGGTCGATAGTGTCGGCTAGTTGTTTATTTCCTTTCCTAAATATGGGCGTGACTATAGCCTTTTTCCAGCTCGCAGGTAGTCTTCCATGTAATAATAAGTTGTTCATCAAGAATGAAAGAGGTCCACTGAGTGAATGCTTATCTTGACAGAAAGACAGCCGGTATACAGTCTGGTCCGGGGCTTGTATCAAGTTTCAATGAGTCGATGGCATTCTCTATTTTTTCGGCGTGAATTAAACAGAGGTGATTACAACTTCAGAATAGGATCTTCTGGGGAGTGCTGGAGTGGCAGAAGTAGTCGAATCTCTTACAAAAACACTTTGGAATTGTTGTGCAAAACAGTTGACAATTTCTTCATTGGTTTTAAGTAGGGTGTTGGTATTCTTATCTTTAAGGGTGAAAGTGGTAAGTTTTGAATTCAGGTTACGTTTGATGTATGTATAGAAATGTTTTTCAGAACCATCGAGCAAATTCTGCTCAAACTTGAATCTGGCATCCTCTGGATGGGTTTTTTTGTTCTGTTGTTTTGTTGACAATAAATTGCATAATTTTCGGTAGTTTTATTTTTTTTATATTTATGCCAAAGATCACGTTTTTTCTGGATCTCCTTGAAGGTCGCTCGATTTAGCCATGGCTTCTGGGAATTAATATTTTTGACTCTTTCAGGCACAAACGTGTGCATGTTAAGA